TTCTGTAAAAAGAAAGGACACATGAAGAAGGACTGCATTAAGTTCAAAACCTGGCTCGAAAAGAAAGGTATCCCTTCTGCATTTGTCTGTTATGAATCCAATATGGTTAATATTAATTATAACACATGGTGGATTGATTCTGGTTCTACAATCCATGTTTCCAATACCTTGCAGGGTATGGAAAGCCTAAGGAAACCAATGGGAAGTGAACAGTTCATCTATTCCGGTAGTCGGATGCGTTCGCCTGTGGAAGCCATTGGGACGTGCAGTTTAGTGCTGAGTAGTGGCTTTGTTTTGAAGTTGGAAAAGACTTTTTATGTTCCTAGTTTTTCCAAAAATTTAATTTCTGTATTGAGACTATCATGTTTGGGTTTTTCGTTTCACTTTATGGATTCTAGTTTTGTTTTGAATTTTGAATCTAGAACCGTTGGTTGTGGTGAAATTAATGATGGTCTTTATTCGATCAAATTGAAAAACGACACTACTTTTGATTCACTGCATGTCACAGCTGGTTTAAAGCGATGTGTTATGAATGAGAACTCATATATGTTGTGGCATCGTCGATTGGGACATATCTCAATTGACAGAATTAAGAGATTAGTGAATGAATGGATACTTGGTACCCTGGATTACACTGATTTTGAGACTTGTGTTAGTTGCATTAAAGGCAAGCAAACTAACAAGTCCATAAAGGGTGCACAAAGGAGTTCGAATCTTTTGGAAATTATTCATACAGACATTTGTTGTCCAGACATGAATGCAAGTAGTCCGAGATACTTCATCACCTTTATTGACGATTGTTCACGGTATATGTATCTTTACTTACTTCATTCTAAGGATGAAGCTTTAGAAGCCTTTAAAGTTTTCAAGGCTGAAGTAGAGAAACAATGTGGAAAACAGATCAAAATCGTCAGATCTGATAAAGGTGGTGAGTACTATGGTAGATACACAGAAAATAGACAAGCTGCCGGTCCATTTGCTAGATTTCTTCAAGAGAATGGGATTGTTGCCCAATACACTATGCCTGGCTCTCCGGACCAAAATGGTGTTTCAGAACGAAGAAATCGAACATTAATGGACATGGTGAGGAGTATAAGGTGTAATGTGAAACTTCCTCACTTCTTGTGGACAGAAACGCTAAAGACGGCTGCGTATGTATTGAACCGGGTACCAACCAAGGCTGTCTCAAGGACACCTTTTGAATTATTTAAGGGTTGGAAGCCGAGTTTGCGACATATACGTGTTTGGGGATGCCCGTCTGAGGTGAGAATTTATAATCCACAAGAAAAGAAGCTAGATCCGAGGACTATTAGTGGGTATTTCATTGGATATGCCGAAAAGTCTAAAGGATATAGATTCTATTGTCCATCTCATAGCACTAGAATTGTGGAATCGAGAAATGCGAAATTTCTCGAGAATGACTTGGTTAGTGGGAGTGATCATATTCCAGATACTCATTCTGAAAGAGATCACTATAAAGATCAACCTACTAAGCTGAGTGATAGATTGATTGTCTTTCACGCTCCTCAAGTTCCAACGCGTGTTAGACGATTAACTAATGAAGTTCCACAAACTGATGAAAATGATCACGTAGATCAAGTTGTTAATGAAGAACATCAAGAAAATGTTGAACAACATGCTGTTGAATCAGTTGGTCAGCAAGTTCTTCGTGATAATGATGAAACAACATTAAGAAGATCTACACGAGTCAGAAAATAAGCTATTTCTAGTGACTTTATGGTGTATCTTCAAGAATCAGATTACGATATAAAAGCCGCAAATGATCCTGAATCGTTTTCACAAGCCATGAATTCTAAAGAATCCGATTTATGGCATAGTGCTATGAAAGACGAGATGGACTCTATGGCATCAAACAAGGTATGGGATCTTGTCGAGTTGCCTGATGGTGTAAAAGCCATTGGATGCAGATGGGTCTTCAAAACCAAAATAGACTCTGATGGCAACATCGAAAGACATAAAGCAAGACTTGTTGCTAAGGGATTCACTCAAAGGGAAGGAATCGATTACACCGAGACATTTTCTCCGGTATCTAAGAAAGATTCCCTCCGTGTGATCATGGCATTAGTAGCTCAGTTTGATTTTGAGTTACATCAGATGGATGTGAAAACAACATTCCTGAATGGTGATCTAGAGGAAAATGTTTATATGAAACAACCTGAAGGATTTACCTCTAGTGGTGGAGAAAATTTAGTTTGTAAGCTTAATAAATCCATATATGGATTGAAGCAAGCCTCCCGTCAGTGGTATTTGAAATTTCATGATGTTATCTCTTCATTCGGCTTTGAAGAAAACGTCATGGATCACTGTATATACCAGAAGGTTAGTGGGAGTCATATTTGCTTCCTTGTGTTGTACGTGGATGACATTTTGCTTGCAACTAATGATAAATGGATGTTACATGAGGTGAAACAATTTCTCTCAAGGAACTTTGATATAAAAGATATGGGAGAGGCATCTTATGTCATTGGCATTAAGATCCATAGAGATAGAAATCGAGGTATTTTGGGTTTGTCTCAAGAAGCCTATATCAAGAAAGTTCTAGAAAGATTTAATATGAAAGATTGTTCACCAAGTGTAGCTCCTATTGTGAAGGGTGACAGGCTCGATTTGAGTCAATGTCCGAAAAATGACTTTGAAAGGGAACACATGAGCAATATCCCTTATGCTTCAGCAGTATGAAGTCTTATGTATGCTCAGGTTTGCACCAGGCCTGACATAGCATATGCTGTTGGAGTATTAGGGAGATATCAGAGTAATCCAGGTGTTGACCACTGGAAAGCTGCAAAGAAAGTGATGAGGTACCTTCAAGGTACGAAGGATTTTATGCTCACATATAGACAAACTGATGTGCTGGAAGTGATTGGCTACTCCGATTCGGACTACGCTGGCTGCATTGACACTCGGAAATCCACATCGGGTTATGTGTTCATGTTGGCTGGTGGAGCCATCTCTTGGAGAAGTGCGAAGCAGTCTATCACTGCTACTTCCACTATGGAGGCTGAGTTTGTTTCATTTTTCGAGGCTAGCTCGCATGGTGTATGGTTGAAGAGTTTCATATCTGAGCTCAGAGTCGTTGACTCTATTTCCAGACCGATTAAGTTGTACTGTGACAACTCTGCTGCGGTATTTATGGCTAAAAACAATAAGAGTCGGAGTCGAAGTAAACACATCGACACCAAATATTTAGCCTTAAGAGAGCGTGTCAAGGAAAATAAAGTGGTCATTGAACACGTTAGTACAGAGTTGATGCTTGCTGATCCCTTGACTAAGGGCATGCCACTAAAGAGTTTCAGGGATCACGTAGCAAGTATGGGACTTGATTCTACAATGTAGTTTATTTGCACACATTGTTATTTGAGACTCTTATTCACTTTGATGTTTTCTCGCTTTATTGTGCACATATTTGTTTATTATTGAGAAAACTCGCTTATGTTTAACCCGGAATAAATATAAGATTTATTCATTAAGTTGTGAATTTAGTTTGAGATGCTTGACATATCGTGATACATGGAAGGTAACATTCGTTTATAGAAGACCTACCGCCATGATTCGTATGTAAGGTTTCTCGTTATGTTGTGATAGTTTGAGTGGGCCAAGTGGGAGAATGTTGGTTTAATTAATTAATCATATTTGAATTTTGATTATTTTTGAATTATCTTATATAATTAAACTAACCTAAAATTGTGGCCTACTTTTCTCCCATTAAGTCTATCACATTCAAACTATACGTGAGAAGTGGCAGAAAAATCGTGATGGACGGTTTTTCTTTTAATTATAAATACTCTCACATACGGGTTACTAAACCTACTCTCAGAAAATTAGAATACACCATCACTATTTGAGAGCCAGGGTTTGGCAACATCATCCTAGGGTTCCACAATCTGGCACTATCTTCGGAGGTTTCCAAAGTTTGGCAACATCCTCCCAAGGGGTCCAAAGTCTGACAACACCATCTTCCAACAATTCCAGTCCACGTTTTGCTTGGAGAAGAGAATATCGAGAATAAATCTAATTTTCTAGCAATGGCAGGAGGTTTGTTTAAATTTCGCTTCCGCTAACATATTTGATTATATGCTTATTTTTCTAACAGATATTACATCGCTGCAAATAGCACACATAATCATCAAGCACGCAAACAGTCGAACAAATATAACCGAATATATGCGTGTCTGAGAATATATGCGTGTCTGATTACATAAAATTCCATAAAATATTAATATTGATAAGAAATATGTAGAGTAATGAATTCATTATATTATCATATCATACATACCACATAAATAATGTGTCGTGCATATATATTTTAATTCACTTATTCGGATTGAAAAGTTAACATATATTTATCCCGTTAGCAATCAATTAATCCAACCAAATACTATAATCGATGAAAGCGAAACGAATAGCAATTGAAACAAAGATCAAATAATTAATTGTAACATATATGAAAATAGTTCGATCCTAGACCAAAGTAATTTCAATTAAACATCTAACAACATATTTTAATAATTCAATATGGAAAGACTCTGATAACAATTGTTTGAAATGATCATGAATTAATCTCCAAGCGAAGATTTGTCGTGTTGGAATAATTGATACAAGAAAATAATGGATATTTCACTTAAATTTGAGATCACAACCCTAATATAATTATATCTCATTATTAATTGATGTCATCACCTAATTAATAATTTATGAGTTTTTGCACATAGGAAGCACACACTTAGTTTATATATTTAAACCTAATAAATTTAATAGATTACTTAATATATGTTTAATTTGACTAAACCTCAAATAGTTACATTTAATTTACAATTGGATTTTTAATCCAACAATTTCTCATTAATAAATATACATTGTATAAAGCTTAGCATTCCGCAGGAAATAGCAATTGAGAAAAAATATATAAAGCCTTAATAGTGAATAGCAATACCAAACGGCGAATGACGCGAGAAATTGTTCAATGGTGTTCGTCTCATCCTCGGATAAGGTACCCTTTCCACAGTAGTTGTCGTTATTGCAATATTCCTCCAACTTTTGTGCTCCAGGGTCTGCTACAACCTTAGCATCCGAGTCCCCATCGTCGCCGACGACAAATGGTTCCTGAACCAACAATAAAGATAATCATGTTTCCGTAGGTATCTGTATTTATTGTACAAGTATTGAATCAAAAACACTGGGTATTTAAGAATCTATCCGAAGTATTTCAAGCCAGCGACTGATATTTGTATCAAACTACGTACCTACTCATTATTGACGTCGGCCGGTGACTTTCCTTTCGCCCTCCGTAATTTTTTAGCTTTCTTAATTCGCGGTGTTGACACAGGTGCACGAATTCAGGCTTCTTCTTTCTCTTCCGATCCTTACGTGCCATTACACCACGTACGATCGATGAATCTGCGGCCCTGCTACAAGTCTCACGGTCGGACTCATCGGCGGGCTACAATTTCAACAAAGCAAACAATCATTCAACATATAGACAACTATACCTACAAAATGTACTTACTATATTAATTAGCTTACCTTGACATCTATCGGTGCAATATATGGAACAATGGCCATCAGTTGGTTAAACTCTTACAGGCTACCAACCCCTTCGTCATCTGACTCGTTTATCGGATCAACTTCGGCCAAAAGGATGTCCATTTTTTTTTGCTTCGTCGCTCGGTATTCGCTCGCTCTTCCGCTGCCTCATCGGGATCCTCCTCAGCCTGACTCTCCTCCTCCTCAGTTTGTTTCTCCTACTCCTCCTCCTCCTCCTGACCCTGTTTCTCCTCCCCGTCAGCCTGCTTCTCTTCCTCCGAGTCCTCCTCGGTCTGATCTTCCTCATCCTCATGCAGTTGTTTCCTCTCTGACTCCACACCCATCCGGTCTGCTGTCTCCTCCTCCTCATAGTTTGCGTCACCCTCCTTGCCATCACTCTCATCCTCACACTCACCTTCACTGTCGTCATCGACAACACCAACTTTAGCTCTTTGCAATTTACGAGCAAGTCTGGCAATTGCAGCGTCTTTCTTCCGCAACTCCACCTTCAATGCCGCAATTTGCTGAGCTACTACCTGTAACATATGTTAATAATGTCATATAAGAAATTATTTTATCCATTTACAATGGTAGCAACATTGAATAATGCATTTACCTCCGAAGCATGGAAAATTGCACGAACAAACTTTCTTCCGTGCCTATCCGATAGAATTCCTGAATATCTGACCGCTTCAGGGATGTCAATTCAGCAACTGCATGAACCCTGGACATTGGACCGAGGCTATTCAGCCACCGAAAGAGACGCGGTACCTTCGGAAGGCACCGTGTCTTGTCCAAAGTTGGGACCCTCTCATTGAACCAAGCCTGCACATAATAATAATCTCATTACTGCCAACAATAATAATAATAGACATATTGTGCAATATACCAAAATAAGTAGAAAAAATTAATAAATCCGATATTACATTGCTTACCAATAAACCGGCGGTGCAGCCTGTCAAATATTTCTTCCCGGACTTGAAGTCGCTTATACACTTCAAGAGATAACAGTGACTTGCGGGTCCCCACGTATAGTCACCAATCGCAGTCAGGTCATCCACATACGGTAACAAAAAAAAAGGGTACAAAATAATTCGAAGAACAAAATAAAATATTTGCAAAAACAAACAAAATAAAGAGACGGACAACGTCCGCAACAGAAAGAGGCTCCAGCCCCTGCAACATAGCCTCACGCAGCTTCTGCAACACCTGGCCACGGGTTACAGAACGCGGCTTGCTCCCAAAAATCGGAACAAACCATTCACTTTCGACCGATGTGTTTTCGGTCACGTAGACTCCTTTCGCATGTAGTCCTAAGACTACAGAATATTCCTCAACTTCAAATGGAAGCTCAATGTCACTTCCAATCTTGAAGGACATAGATTCCGAACTAAAGTTATTGATGAGGGCAACAAGTCGGTGCCACGAAACTTCATTTTCGGGCAATCCAAAAAATGCCCGAACGGAGTCATTTTTATGGTTGTGATGTGTTCGTCCATCATGTGTTGCTTCAGTTTCCCCACCTTATTATGAAAAAATGGTAATGCAAATCGGCTTATTACTGATTTGTGCTCTTTCCCTGGCCTGTAAGTAAAAACCATAAGTCCACATTATCCAAATATCTAATTTAGTTAAAAGTTTTTCACAATTTATCAAGAATAAAAATGCATTCCGAGTATACAATAGTGTCATACAGGTATATTACTTAGCAAATTAGACCAAACAAATGAAACTCCTGGTACCTAATAATACCACATTTGTCAACCCACAAATATGACTAATTACCGAACAATCCACAAAAAAAACTAAAATATGCAACTTCAAGTAACTAAACAAAATATACATCTTCAAAATTAGCAAAATCAAAGATAAAATAGATAAAATCACCCAAAATCGGTGCATAAATAGAACACCGAACCGGGTTTCCTGGCCAAAAATTCGAACAATTTCAAACTCGTTGAAAAACACAACACCGAACACCCAGGGCTCCTCATCACCGAACCGAGGCATACAAACAATCGAATAAACTACGATATAAAATTCAATTGTCAACAAAATCATAAAACGAAAAGGGTTTCGACCAGACACTTACTTCTTCGAACTCTTCGTGGGGGATCGCAGCGGGTTCGTTGTTTTCCTCACCATTTTGCTGAACGAATGTGTTACTGCTTGATCGTCGACTTCACGAAGGTCGATTTGCTTCTCGAAGAACTAGGGCTTGGTCGGAGAGTGAGGGAAATTAGGGAATGTTTCAACTCTTAAATCGTGTGTATTTTTTTTTTCTTTTTCTTAAAAAAGAAATCACAAAATAAGGTATGCAATATTTAAATGGAATTATCTAATCGTATTCTGGGGTAGAGCGGGAGGTAATGTATGTATATATTATAAAATTTGAAGTATTTATTAAACAATCATAAGTACATGTCGCAGGTACAACTGTGATTGAGTGGAAAATATAAAAAGAGAGTTATAACATATCTAATCAATAAAGTAGGGACTGCAGACCAATTAATGTACAATAGGGACTGAATTGCATTTAGGGATTTTAGTCTAACTCTCCCATTTTTAAAAGCCATTTTTATTATTTTGCTATTAAAAAAAAAAAATCAATATCAAATCAATACCTATCAAAATTCTTCAAATCTAAATCAAATTTACATAAACACAAAAATTCAAATCCAAACTCAAACCTCCCAAACTACTTTAAAAGAAACACAACCTTAAACATTCGATATCCATGGATATTTCATGTAATAATTACTACCTCCGTTTCTTAATAATCTATTCGTTTTTTTATTTTGGTCTGTTAGATAACAAAATATTAATTTTTTTTTAATAATTGTATTATCTTCCTAACGTTACAAATACCCTTTTAATTTATAATATATTACACAAATATTATTACATTTATATTATACAATTATTTTAGTTTTTTTACCATATAGATATATAGAAGGAATTTTTTTTTTACCATACTAAAACCCTACTGCGGCTCCCAAGACCATAATTCTTTCTTACCTAATCCCGTCACTCACTCTTTTCCTCCTTTTATTTTCTTCTTCCCACACTCTCTTCCTCCTTCCTTCTTCAATCAATCGCCCACATTTCGCCGTCACTGACCGCATCGACCGTCGTCGGAGCTCTCCAATCACCGGACGGCGGACGCAACCACGCAGGTTTGAGAAAAAATTAGTAATAGTGACTCCGGTTTTCAAAAAACTGGAACCGAGTTCGGTTTCGGTTTAATTTCACGGCGGTCTCGGTTTGAACCGGCGAACCGCCGTCTACTCTTCATTTCCTTCCTCCGGCGGCTCACAAACAATTCCTATAAATCTCACCAATGGTTGTAAATTGTTTTTTTGTCTACAGTGAGAACGTTATGGCAGGGAATTTAATTTGTCGCTGTTGGGAAAACAAATGTGAAAACACAAACTAACAGAGCCCTTTGATTCTTCAGGTGTAGTGTATTTTTTTAATCTTCCTACTGCTGTGACCTTGTGGTGATTCCGCTTCCACGATTACAATTTTGTGATTTCAGATTGTTTTAGATTTCTGTTGAGAAATAATTAGCTCGGTTTGCTTCCCGATGGATTAAGTGTTATTTCATTATTCAGCTAGGGTTTCTGTGTTGTTCTTACTTCTTACTAATCCAACATGTTTTGAATCTGTTGCTTCTTTTTATGCTGCTTTGTTGATGTATTGCATGTTGTTTTTGTCAATTCAGAGGTAAAAAATTGTTTCTAATTTGCTTTCTTCCTTTCTTGTTTAAACATACTGTAGGATATCATGAAGAAAGCTCAACAGATGTACAGGTTCTCTACATTCCATATCAGAAGCCAAAGTCATGCCAAAGATCTTGCTGAATTTTCAATATCAGATAATCCCAAAAAAAAGTGTACTTTATTACCTTATAGGACACTGCCTCCAGCCAAGGGTGAAGATTTGGACTATGCAAACATTGTGCACAGTCGTTTGATCCACTCTGAATGGGATAGCCTCAATAATCTAGCCTCTGGCTTAACATCATTTAGAGTTAAACATGTTTTGCTGAAAATACAGAAAGATCATGTGCTTTCACAAGAATTTTTCAACTGGGTTGAGCTCAAGAATTCCGAGGTGAACACGCTTGATGTGAATTCTGTAATTCTCCACATATTGACTAAGAATCGAAAGTTTAAATCTTCCGAAACTATTTTGAGGAAAATTCTTGAAATGGGATCTGCAAAGTTGGATTATCCTCGCAAGGTCTTTGAAGCATTGGTTTACTCTTATAGGATGTGTGACTCTTCGCCACGAGTGTTTGATACATTGTTCAGGACTTATGTCCACATGAAGAAGTTTAGAGATGCTTCTGATTCTTACTGGTGGATGAGGGAGTACGGATTTTATCCCACTGTGGAATCTTGTAATGCATTTTTGAGCTCATTGATCAGTTCGAATCGTGGGGATATTGCCTTGGCAGTGTATAATGAGATGTGTAGGTGCAGAATATCACCAAATGACTACACAATTAATATGGTCATTGGGGCATATTGTAAGGTGGGGAATATGGACATGGCGGTTAAGGTATTTACAGGAATGGAAGGAATGGGATTATCCCGTAGTTTTGTAACTTATAATACATTGATGGCAGGATATTGTAGTAAGGGTCTATTGACCAGTGCTGTGAATCTCAAGAACATGATGGAGAAGAATGGAGTGCAACCGAGTGTCGTTACCTATAACACACTGATACACGCATTTTGCAAGGAGGGAAAGTTACAGGAAGCAAACAAGCTGTTTGGAGAAATGAAAAGCCTAAATTTGAGACCTACAGCTGTAACCTACAATACATTGATCAATGGTTATAGTTTAATCGGAAATAGTAAGATGGGCATCCAGTTCTTTGAGGAAATGTCTACAAATGGTATTAAGGCTGATATCTTAACTTATAATGCTTTGATTTTGGGCCTATGCAAAGAGGGGAAGACGAGGAAAGCTGCACATATGGTGAAGGAACTTGAGAGGGAAAAGTTAGTACCCAATTCTTCAACTTTTGCTGCTCTTATAACTGGGCAGTGTGTGAGAAACAATGTGGATCGTGCTTTTCAGCTCTATAAAATTATGGTGCGGAGTGGTTGTCATCCCAATGAAGCGACTTTTAAGATGATAATATCTGCTTTTGTGTATAATGAAGATTATGATGGAGCAGTTCAGATCTTGAAAGAGATGATGGAGAGAGCTGTAGCTCCAGATTCAGACATTTTGTTTCGTCTTATTAGCGGACTTAGCAAAAGTGGTAAATATGAAGTGGCCATGAATTTGTGTAAAAAACTAGAATCTCAGCGCCTCATGCCTCAAGGCTTTCAGAGTATAGACATTTTAAATGAAAGCCATATGACGTGAATATCGTCATTATTCAGAGACATGAGCTGTTTCAAGGATTTCGTTGCAGCAGTATCGAGCATTCCTTTGCCCTTGCATATTCTGCTAAAACAAGTGAAATTAAACACTCACCGGACTTTTGAAGTCTGATTTAAGGATAAAGAAAGGACAAGCTGAATAGGACGATTTCTTGGCAAGATTTGATCGACAGAGGCTATTTTGGTAAGTATTCCCATGGTTGTGTTTATGTCTCCAAGTTTCTGAAGTGATTGGTATTTGTGGGTTCGATCAACTGTTCTTTTGTTTTGTTATTTCTCTTCCTACGAAAAGTTTCTTCAGTTTGTTGCATTGTTTCCTTTCACCACATCTTATATATATATATATATATATGATACTGAAACATGCTTTAATCACATGCTTTTGTGTCTTGGGTAGATATTATAACAAAATTATTTGTTTAAGTCATAAGGTTTCTTGAAATGGCAGTCCCGGCTTCCTGTTATAAATGCATGTAGATGCAATACTCTGTTTATTTTTCATTAATTTTTTATGTCAATATCCAAATGTCCTGAATAAATGGATAGATAGATAGTGATGACAGTGTATGATTATTTAATGTTAACAAGAGAATGCCATGCTTCGAGTAAGATTATTGTTTTATGTTAACAATTGTGAGTCTTTTCTGGTTTGCTGCCCAATCACTTCAGATTTCATTCTTCTTAAAATAGAAATGCAAAGTGTTGTTAGCTTTACCATTGTTCCTGTCCATCTATGTTTAGCAATCTCGATCACTGTTCAAGACGACTAATGATGACATATTATGATGCAAATACTTTTGATCCAGCTACTTAATACTGTTCATTTGCTTGCTGCATCATCTTGATGTGTCACGAGGGTTGCATTAGTCCTGACTTATTTTGATGTTTGAACTTTTTGTTGTTCTCCTTTCGACTATATTTCTATTCACAATTTTCTGTACTTTCACAAAATACACGAGAAGTATGAAACAGCTACTTCTGATCTTGTTGAGATGGAAAAAAGGACAGCTATGGTGGAGTCTGTGCTTGAAGCTACTTTGCAGTATCAGTCTTGGAAAACCAAAGCATTATCTTCTTCTCAGCTAATACTGGTATGGATGCTCAATTAGGGTTGCATATGAATCAAATTGATGTGAAAATATTCGACTACTCGATTTGTTTTGAATCTTTAAATGGTATTCGTATTCGAATCGAAATAGTTTTCAAATGATTTGCTTCGATTTTTTTAAATGCAATTTTAATAATATTATTCAAATATTCTAAGATTTGGTTTGTTTTTATCTTATCCTATTCGATTCAAAATTTTATAATTAAAATTTTCAACAATAATATTAAGACCACTTATAAAAAATGAAGGTATCTTACTATTTATCATTTTGTTTTTCAAATTGACACAAGATTTTATTGTTTTAACAAAAATAAAAATATCATTGTATAGTTATAGTTTCACTTGTATTATATGTTTTTTTATATAAAATTTAAAAATAGTGTTATGAATATATTTTCATTAATTTATTTAGGAAATACATATATACATATATATATATATATATAATATCACATCAAATATTTACTAATATTAAAATTTCATATTTGAATCGAAAAAAATTATTCAACCCTATGCTCAATTGATATCTCTAGTGTACTAAGTGACATCAACATTCTCTTTATGTTATGCTTCCACATTTACTAGCCTCCTACTCCAGTAAGTATTTTCTTGATGTTCTTTGCAGATCAATGCATCAAAATAGTCAAGATGATTCACAAGAAGTTCCATTCAGGAAGATAAGTTTGCCTTATAGATCATTTGGTTTCGGATGGAGAGATAAGAACAAGGTTAGCCTAGGCCCTCCTCTATCATACATAGTAAGTCGGGAAGAAAAATAGTGGTAAATAAACCTAGAAGTTTTGTTACATGGAAGGTTGTCAACACATGTTTCTACTGCAATTTTGTGTTGTACCTTCTTTTTTTCTACTCTTCGAATGTGCTCTTCAAGCCATGTTTGACTGACAAGACAACATCGACAATCTGAATCCATGATTTCACCATCACGAGTTTACAGACACTATCGGACCATCTCTTATGAGACTTGGGTTTGTTTGTTTGTAGGTTTTAGTTTTTAGGTTTGAATTTTTTAATAGTAAAAAGTTGAATTTGAATAGTTGTTTGATGTTATATTTTAAATGTAAAATAAATTTGTAGTATAATATAAAAAATAATAATAATAATTATTTGATGTGATATTTTTTAAAGAAGAAAAAAAAATTGGATAGTAAAAACCTGGTAAAACCCACAAAAGAAACACTAACTTTTGTGTTTTGCTTTCTTTGGTGATTAGAGACATGCTTTCACCTATGCATATATATATATAGGTATGTATGTTTTATTTTTTGGTAATCAACAATAGCTGTTGCATTGAACGAATTGAATCCATCAGTTAATTTACAGCATAAGCTATCTATCTAATAAGGCAACATCCAAATTCCATGAGTAAAAATATAAATAATGTAGCACAAGAGAAGCAATAGTACTATTTATTTGCACATTGAGATGTGATCAATAATGCCTCAATAGAGTGAATTGTAAGTGAAGCAAGCGGCTACAATCGATCGAGCTACAGAGCTCATTCTCTGATATCCAGCCGGCCTGATCGTGCAATCCCGGAACATTCAAAATAGTAAAGTCAAACAATGTACAAGCATAAACCACCATAAAGGAACACATGAAATTTTTTTGAGTAACATAGAAAACAAGTCAACAATGTTAAGAGGAGGCATCAATATATTCAGCAGCAACAAAACTTACCCATCATTTTGATTGTGAAGCTGAAAGTGATAATAGTAATAAATAATCTTTCTTTGAGCTCAAGATTTCTTGACAACTGTCAATGTTAAACATTACCCAAATTCTATGGACCTATATGCTTCCAAACCTGCATTATGGCAATATTAGTAAACTACTATCTAATTTAATGAATGAAAAGATTTTGAACTTCAATGTTACTTGAACTAATAATGAAAATAAATAAATAATTGTGAATGTCACTAAAAGGAATTTTTTTTGAGTAATTTTGAGGATTCACATGAAATTGATCTTATCTAACATATAAGAGAGATTGTCAAAAAACAAAAAAATACATCATATGGAATATATATATATATATATAAACACACATACATACAAATAAGACATTGAGATAGTTATGATTATATATTAACTAAGAAACATACAAAACTATGAGCTTGCGATAACACATTAAAAGAATTGTATACGCTTGTTTTAGAAGGAAAATGGTACATAGGAAATATCCGATAGATGACCCGAGATCAAGAGGATATAGGATCACAATCAACCTACAAGATCAGAATGCCCAAAGGCACCACAATTCACACACAAGTCTGCCAATCTATTGTATTCAATAGTATACACATGATTAGAATGTGTGTGCTAGCAAAAAAAAAAAAAAAAAGTTATATACAGTTGTGCATGTGTTTCTGTTGTAAAGATAGGGAAACAGAAATAACCTACAATGGATGTTCAACATGTTTTAAATGAAAAATAAGTTAGTCTGAGTGTATAAAGAAATTCTTAAATTTTAAGCTAAACTGTACAAGATGCATGTGCCTAATGGTTTCTTAAATTGAAACATGGAATGTTTCAAGACTTCATCACACATATATGCTCCAGAAACTATATATAATATCTGACCTGATAAAGGTGTGAGCAGAGCTAGAGTTAGTCAGAATCATCTACTTCCTCTTCAGAGTCTGGCATTCGCCGGAAACGAGCAAAAGGCCGAATGTAAGATGTTTCCTTGTCTCGCGGAATCACTGATCTCTTTCTCTTACGAGAGAATCCTATCTCAAAAGTTGGATCCGACAAAAGCTCCATGTTGCTTTTCTGCATATACGCACTACTCTTACTCTCTAAATCACACCTGCACAATTAGCATTGGTACAGAGTTTACGTAGCTACGAAAATGACATACACTAGGAATGTAAGATTCCTTTGAATACTAAGTAGACAGAAAAAGTGCTAATTCATAGAGTAGACAAATTGAATGACTAAAGCTAAAATTATATGAATTCGGGCATCCTCAATTTAATGGCTTTAGCCTGTTCCACAAATGAATGCATAATTCATTAGTCATTTAACAATTCCAGCGTCAAGATTCGGTCATTTACACTTTTAAAGCATATATCACTCTCTTAAATGAAATCCCAGTTAAGGAAAATGAAGAGGACATAAAATAAAAGGTTGCCAAAGAAATTATATAGGAACACTAGCAATATAATCATTAGTGGCCAAACATGTAAAACAGTGGGATTCAAGTTAAAAGCAATATCAACATGGACCAAATATTGCAACCATTTACATAGGAGGGTGAAAATAGTGTAATGTGGGGTGCAACATGCTAGATTAACAACTATTTAATGTACCTTAATAACAACCCCCATCATGTGTGGTGGGAAGGTTGAATGCATATTGAGAGGCCATGGAATAGAGAAAAAATGCATCAATATGCATTTCGTTATAAGTTACATCAATGTTCCCTCCCTTTACCTATACAAAATTTCCAAGACTTTCGAGGTGCACCCCTACATATTTAATATATTTGTCAGGTTGGGTCAGGTCTAGGGTCCAGAAACTTTAGTTGATACCCATTCATACCCAACCGATATCCCAACAATTGGACCCTATCTCAAGTAAACGAGTCAAGTAATGAGTACATGCATACCCATTGCTATCTCTACTAGAAACAAAAGAAGCCGATGACAAAGGAAGCTGCAACAATTAAATTAGTAAAAAGGTTCAAATACCTCATGATTTAACAGGATACAATAAAAATAAGGACAAAATTGGATGGAGGCACACTGCCAACTTAATTATCGATTTTAGAAGTTAGAAGTATGTTCTCGGCATCATATATAGATACAGATAATATCTAACAGCTATACAAATTCAGGTACCAGAACCATGAAGTTAGAATAGTTGGATGGTATTTTTGGCAATTTGCTCTTTTAATTAATATGTTTCTTCAACGTGTTCAACAATATGCACAAAAAATACTCCCTTTTACCTCTCACGGATGATTTTGAAAGCTTCTTTTGTTGCGTAAGGTAAACCAGTCTTTGGATCGCGGTACCTGCATTTTGCAACAGAGCAATACATAGCATTCTTTAGAAGTTGAAGTATCACATCCAGTAACCATTATCCATTCAAAGCATCATATCTAACAACTACCTCAAAAACAGCAAAGCCAAAAAGCATACAAAACACACACACTCGCAAGTTAACACACTGAATTCTAAGAACTGTTTAATCATTGAGCCCACTTGAAATTCAAAAAACCTATGTACATTGCGCACACACTATAATTAGTTGCACCACCTGTAATACGATCATTATACAATATTAATTGTGTAGTAAAACATAAATGTTATGTAATGCTATATTAATAACAATTTTATTTTATTCTTTTGTGTGTTTTTCACCTACCAAACCACTATCCAAACAAATCCTTCAATTTCTGGTATGTTTCACTTAGGAGTGCAAGCAGAATTCCAATAGCCAGGTTCGCACACAATGGTTAATGAATGCAAAGATTTAACACATGCAGGATGTGGTTAAACTGGAAAAAAGACTTGTTTACAATCTGAAATATTGAAAATGAAAAGTAAAGTGCACAAAAATCCCCCAAGACTTGTTATATCTGACAAAATATTATGCAACCATAACAGTTCGGGATGATACTTGGTGAATCTTACATTGCAGGAAGCCCAGTAACAGCACATACTGCCTTCTTTGGATCTGGAAAACATGGATTTGTACAACAAGTCAATAATCAGAAGCAGAATAATGATATTTAGGTGCACTCAGCAGTTTGGGTGTGACCATAACACAATGATAGCAATTTTGGCTTGAAAATCAGGGGACATCACCTTCAAAACATCATTCCAATGTTTTCGAGACAGATAAGTGTAACCTCAATAGCTAACTGAAGCTTACAAAGAACTTTGCAGTTTTCAAGATATTAACATTGACACATTTGAGGAAGAATAAGTGAAATTGACAGGGTGAAAACTAAACTCCAGAACTCATTATCCAAATGGAATGTCTATACTTCCCATTCCAGAGACAGTCTCTCTCTATTTGCAGATACATATATTATATTTTGACTAGAGGTCAGATGGCCTTAGGAGGTTATAGATCTATCTCGCCAAATTGGTAAACATTAGAAGATAGAACTTCATTCGAAGATTATCATGATTAAAGAAAAAATATATATGGAAAAGAAATGATAATAAAAATCAAATTCATGAAGCAATGCTTCTCTCTCCTCTACAAGTGAAATATATGAGGTTGAAGGCTTGAGCAGAACCAATTGTTATCAATCACATTGAAATTCCAAGAACAAATGCATCGGATGAGAAATCAGATTAATGTATCCAATAATTTGTGGCTATCAGTTACTTGGTTCCCATATAGCAGAAACGTGAATAGGATTGCACTTGTTTCATATGAATCCAAATTTATGATTACTAAAATCGCCAACACTGTGCTCTGAAATAAATAAAATATCTCAATCCTAGTCACCAAGAAATGCAGTGATTACTGTGGAATGCATATCCAGCTATATTTACGGGAATCTCTAACTTTTTCCAATGACCGATCAAATGACCATGAATCTATGAACAATGTTGTCACTAGGTAGGCAGCCTCATTATATATACCAAATCCTATAAATGTGGCAAAGATACAAAATAGATAGCTTACATGGGGTAGAAGTTGTTGAGAGCTCTGATCCAAAGGAAGACCCATTAATGAATTCTATATACGAGTAACCTGCAACAAACATTTTGATTCAATTTCATCAAGTGGAATAATAGATAGTTAAGCTTAGAAATCAATGACAATACTTTATCAGTATATCCAACAAGGATGGAACTAGAAGAGAATACAAAAACTTGCCATCTTTGGAAAGATATCGTATTTGTGGACCACTGTAAACTGCTTTATGAACAGTAGCTCTTTTTTTAACTTCTTCCTCTCTTGCTAATACCCTTTCCAAGTTTCTCAAATTCATTACCTCTGCAGCACATTTTATGTCAGAGAGCATCTTCACTTGCAATACATTACAGGAAAAAAAAAAAAAAAAGGCCTCATACAACAATCTTATTATACAAAGCACCTGTTTGTGCTGCTTCTAGAAGCATCTCCTCTTGGGTCATCCTTTTCTCCTCACCTTCCTTTTTCTTTTTTACAGGCTAAAAAGTAAGAAGATAACCATTAATAGAACATTATTGTGCAAAAAAATGTACAATTTGAAAAGGATCATTCTTAAACTTGTATTCCAAAATCTCTTAAACAAGACATAACCAATATGGATCATTCCCATTAACAATTCCAGTTTCATTACATCACCTTACCCCTGATTCAAAAAGCTCAGTTCCACGCAAGGTGATCAACCACCTATGATGGTGTTCTTTCTAAAGCTTAGTAAGGTAGAATACAAGTAATTTACTATGCAAGGCAAGCTTATTTTTGCCAAAAAATGAAAAAACTAAGCTATCTTAATTGAGAGAGAGTGATAACCTTACTAGTAACTAGCCTAAGATCAAACTGAAATCTGGATTGTACTCTAGCCTGCTTCATCATTGAGTGAATGTATGGCTTCCAAACTATATTTAAAATAAGACGAAATGAAGCTTAAATCTACCAAAATTCTTATAACAATATTGAGAAAAATTTTATGGTGACTTTAGAATCTCACTCAATCAATGAACAAACAAACCGAAACAATGGCTTCCAAAAGCCTTCTCTGGCATGTATGTCTACTAATAATTTTGGGTTTCCCGGACCACTCAAAAACCTACGATCTTTCTATTTCCGTTATCATCTTGACTATGCCGAGGTTGATATTCATCAGAATGTGTCCGTGAAAGAATTTCGAAGATGCAACATTGCAATTAAAACACTTGACAAACTCTATCAAAGTAAATCTTGATGTTCTAACTGACTATATTTAGTAAAAATGGGTATGCGATGTTTCCTTGTTAGCAATGCATAATGGTAATTATCAGTACCTTTATTGTAGTTTGTAATGCTGCACGGATTGCATCCCTTTCAGCTTGCCTAATAACCACAGAGGTTCTTGTAGATTTTCTTACAACTTTCTCCGCCTCTGCATCATCAGGGGCATCATCATGATGTTCTGAAGGAGTCAACTGATCCGAAGTTTTCTCATCTTTAGAAGAATTTTCTGACTTTGAAACCACCTTCTCTTTCTTCTTCTTGTTACTCTTCTTTGGGGGTTGCTTTCCAGGAAATATTAGTTTCTTTTTAGTCCTTGTCCTGTTCCAGAGCATGAAAGAAATGTATAAGAAAGCCCAACATCAGAAAACATAATCTTCTACTGATGAAGAGAAAATCAAACCTCTCATCTGGTTCGTTTTCCGCTTCTTCATCTGCCTCGGGCTCCTGACAGCATGATGCAGCCATTTGTGTGTAAGATAAATAATGAAGAATAGAAAAATGAAGAAAATTAAAACATAAAACTTACATCTTCATCAAAGTCACTATCAAAAACATCAGCAACCTCTCCTTCCTCCTCGTATTCTACATCATTCTCTTCCTGAAAATGTGCATGAGTGACATAATTCAGTCTTCCAAACAACAAACAGATTAGACAAACATATGTAAGTGCAAAGTACATAGAAGTTAATGATTGACATTGTTTGCCACAATCCACACTCACATACATTAAAAGGTCCATCAAATTAAGTACATACTGAACCATCAACCTTTACATAAAAAAGAAATACTAAGAATGAATTTCAATATTAGGACTACATAACAAGCCAACACCTTTTGCATAAATCTCCCTTTTCTTATGGCAGAAAACATGAAATTTTATCATTCCAATCATGTACACTTCTTTACCGATCTTTGGCATAGTTTCTACATGATTCTTATAAGTATCTCTATGAGGCCCATGCCACACATACATGGTGTCTTCAAACTTTCAAGAAAGTCTTAATTGCATGAACCTGATTACAAAATTCTAAGCAGATGGCAAAATTACATTTTTTTGTTTCACCAAAAAACAGTTCATTCATATTTTAGCCATATAAAAGATCATCTGCATTAGAGACCAAATTTTAGTAATTTCCCTCCTACAATATTCAGGATGACAAACATGGTAGGTATTTTTATGTTGCATCAAGAAAGAGAAGAGAAGCATCTTGAAGATAAAACAAAACAAATGCTACCTCTTTTAAAGCTTCTTGGTTCCAAAAGTTGTTGTCTTCTTCAATCTCCTCGTCCAGCAGTTTTGTCATTCTATCACAATATTGCAGTTTAAATTAGAACCAAATAATAACATTTGTTGACTCCATATGATACAAATACAGCCACATACATACCGTTTTCCCCTCGTAGCTCGAGAGGTACGATCGAGGAACACTTGCAATTGAGCCTCTTCATCTTGGGGCTCCATTGATTACCGAATCGACCCGATTAATAAACCCGTGTGCTGAGATCCCAATCCAGAGCGAACCGCACGAAGAAGAGAGGAAGGGGAAGATAAGAGAAAGAAGTAGATGAGAGGAGTGAGGAGATTCGTGAACGACCAAGAGACGAGAAGAAGAAGAAGGACCGAATGAGAAAGAAATAGTTGTAATAGAAGAACGGAACGAAAAGAAAGACTAACCCGGTCCGCCGGTTTCAAACCGGAACCTTATCGAACCGGTTCCTAAAATTTCCAATCCCTAAACCGGTGGGTCAGCGTTTTATAAGTCAGTATCTCACGATAACTTTACATTTTACTTCTTTTCTTTTTTATATTAATCTTTTAATTATAACATTTATTTTTTTATTAATATTAATTATTATATAATATAAAGATAAAAATATTTTATTAATAATACAAATATAATAATATTTTTATAATAAATAATATAAATATAAAAAACTATCAATTTATCATAATATAAACAATTTCAATCAATTTTAGTTCTACGGTTCAAAAGCTAACAGAAATCGCTAACGTGGATGTAACGGGGTTGACGTGGCAGTTAACACGGAAACATCACGGCCATGTACAATATACACGGCAATGTTGTCACACTGACCGTGTATAATTCAGTGTACAATTATACACGATCATATTGTCGTATTGAAATTGATTGAAATTATTTATAATAAAATTCAAATTATTGAGTTTTTATATTATGACCAAAATTGATAAATTTCAATTATATTGAGACCAAAATAATTTTTTTCAAATATAAAAATATTATAAATGGACGGAGATAGTATTACCTTTTTTAAAGAAATATATATAGGATCCTCTATATATATATATGTATACCTAAATTTAATAAAAGAGATATACTAATCTCTCGTCCAGTCTTTATTGTCTCTATCATATATTATATCACTCACATCACACATTTACACTTATATACATATATTACATACATATATAATATACACACACAACATATATATATACATATTTACCAATATTATAATATTATTATATAACACTTTATCAGCACGGAGGCTCTTGCATATTTTATTTTTGATAAATTTTATTTTTATACTATCTATATTATTTATTTTTTAAATTATGAAAAATCTTGTAAAATTTTTTTAAACTTTTTGTTATTACTAATCCAAGATCAACAATACAATATTCACACACGAATATTCCAAATCTAACGAAAACTTAAAGAAACTTTTATTATTACGGAAGCAATTTACTCGGACTTAATTTTACCCACGTATCAATCAAACCGACATCGAACATACATCCAAGACCCAAGCCACAAATGACTCGCCACGGAATTGCAACTAACACACAAACCCGAACCCTAATCTAAGGAAACACAACAATTTCAAGCCTATTACACCGCGAACAACATATACATAGCGAGACTAGAATAAAGGCACAAATTGATTAAATCAAACTGTAGAAACACTGAGGGAAGAGGCGCGCATCAACAGGGAAGAAGGAACTCCTAACTCGCCGGACAGATTCACCGGAGAAACACAACGCGAACAATCGACGGAATCGCCTAGGGCTTGAGAGAAGAATCGCGAGAGGATCTATTCTGAATCGAATGAATGAAGGAATGAACCGGTCCAGCCTATATATATATATATATATATAATCAGATCAGACCGGTTCAGTCCAGATCGGTTCAAACTGGTTCAGACCGGTTCAGATCCATAAACCGACGGGTCTCACGGAGATTGGGTCGGGCAGTGGGTTGCCGGGTCCAGGCTTCAATTTGGACGGGTCGGTTGTATTTGTATTGGGTCTCTTTAATTTATTGGCCCAAAACTCCACAAATCTCCACCTTTTTGGGCATGGAGAATGTGCTTTAAAAAATGGGTGTCATCACAATCCGAATCATCAATTGTTTCCAGTCTTTTAACCTGCGGACTTATTAACACGATTATTATTTACACATTTTATCTACATACGAAAACAACAACAAAACAACCTTTTAAAACAGTTAAGAAAAACAATGCATTTTTTACTTTTCAAAAACAGTGATTAAATTTCTGTTTTTACAGTTTCAAACACATCTCTAATAAAAAGTATCAATATACACTATTTTCTTACCCAATTCCAATTTCGTAACCGATAAAAACCTTTAATCCCATGTCCGCAGGGTTATTTTCAAAAAATATCTTTTCAAGTTTTATCAAATATTTAGACACTACCTCATGAATCAAATGACACCTAATGTCTATGTGTTTCAAAACATAAAGGTACTTTTTCAAAACACCATGTCTATTTTTACTTTCATTTATTTCCTTAACCAACTCATTTCTATATGTTGATTTTATTGCCTTACTATATGTTTTTTGTTCAATCCCAGCTGCAGATTCAATTGATTATTCTCAAAAATATTAGCAAAATCATCAAACATAGATGGTTTTCTAATTATCCTACTAGTTTTATCACTAATCAATTGATTATTCTCAAATCCAAGGCTTCCTATATTTAAATCCCGAAAAAAAGCAAAAAACCCCCCTGTGGTTTCCGAAAATTGCTGAAATCCCCCCGTAGTTCTAAAACTCCAAAAATCCTACTTGTGGTTTCCAAAATGTTGCAAAAAATCCCCCATCCGTTAGGATTTAACGGAGGTTGTATAGGACGCGCCTGAAATACGATTTTTGGTTCATAGAGTGATATATTTCTATATAAAATTACTAAAATACCCTAATGACTACTTTTTACAACATCTTCTTCTTCCTCGTTCTTCTTCTTCCTCGTTCTTCTTCTTCCTCATTCTTCTTCTTTTTCCTTGTTCTTTTTCTTTCTTATTCTTCCTCATTCATTCTTCTTTATTCTTCTTCCTCCTTCTTCTTCTTCTTCTTTGTTCTTCTTCTTTCTTACCAAACCCAGAATTACTTTCTTCTATTTTTATCAAACCCAAAAATCTAAAAATTCAATTTGACATCAAGATTTGAAATCAATCTAAGAAAAAAAAAAACTTGCCTCTCGTTGCAACCGTGTACGAAAGAATTAGGAAGAAAAAATAAAGAAGAAAGAAAATTGGGAAAAAATAGATAAATAAAAAAAATAAAATTGGAGGAAAAAAAAAAACCTGATGTCTTCTTTTTCATCTTCTTCTTTCCCTTCTTTCTTTATTCTCTTTCTTTTCCTCTTTCCTTCTTCCCTGCTCCAGCCGCTTCCGCCCGTCATCTTCTTTCTCTTCTTATTCTTTTCCAATTCTTCATTCTTCAAAGAACAATTGGAGATGAAGAAGAAGAAAAAAAATGGGGGAAAAAGAAGAAAAGAAAGAAGCGGGTAGAACTACTATGGCATGAAAAAGAATTGGAGAAGAAGAAGAGAAAAATTGAGGAAAAATAAGAAAAGAAAGAAGTGGAACTGTTATGGTTTGAAAAGGAATTGGAGAAGAAGAAGAGAAAAATCGAGGAAAAAGATGTGTGAAGAAGAAATTGGGGAAGAAAAGAAAATGGAAGAAAGAAGTTGGGGAGAAGAGAAGAAGAAAGAATATAAGAGAGATAAACACAGGGGCATAACGGTCTGATAAGATTAAAATTTAACGCCGTCAGTGTGATTTAAAGAGGGGGCGAGTGTGCAACGTTTTACAAACCACGAGTAGGTTTTTTGGAGTTTTAGGACCACATGGGGGTTTTCAGCAGATTCGGTAAACCACGGGGGGTTTTCAGTAAATTCGGTAAACCACGGGGCGGTTTTTTGCTGTTTTGCCTTTAAATCCAAATCTAAAACATCAGAATTTGCACCTACATCAGACTGTTCTTGCAATTTCTCATAATTCAAAACAGTTTCACACAGATTTCGCACATTTTCATAATTTAAAACATTTTGGGACAGATTTTTAGAATTTCCAGACTTTAAATCTGTTGCGGACAAATTCTGAATATTTTCAGAAGTTAAATCTGGTCCCGGCAGATTCTGGAAATTTCCAGATTCTTTTTCCCGACCAGATTCAAATTCTGTACATGCTGGAACATTTTCATATTCAAACATAACATTTTTATTATGCTCCACCTCATTTGAGGTCTTATTCAAATCACTAAGAGTTTCATTCATTTCATTTGGCACATTATTCATCAAACAAGGCATCTTATGTTCATTAAACATCACATTCCGACTCACAAAATTTTTGAATCCCGGTTTAGAAGTTAACCATAACCTATACCCCTCAACTCCCTCGGGGTATCCTAAAAAAATGCATTCTAAGGTTCTAGTTTCCAACTTATCACTAGAAACACGAATAAAAGCGGAACAACCAAACACTCTAAAGTTGGACAAGTCTATATCTTTCCTACACCAAATCGATTTGGGGCAAGCTCTCTTCAAAGGGACCGACAGTGACCTATTAATTAAATAGGTTGCGTAACCAAGGCTTCTCCCCAAAATCCTTTGGACAACCCGGAGGAAGCAAGCATGCTTCTAACCCTCTCTAATAGGGTCCGGTTCATCCGTTCGGCAACCCCACTTTGTTGGGGTGTAACCAGAACGGTTCTTTGACGATTTATTCCATTTTCTACACAAAAGTTGTCAAACCAAGCATTACAAAACTATAAACCAATGTAGGTTCTTAAATTTTGAATCTTTTTACCCATTTAATTTTCAATCAAAATCTTCCAATTTTTAAATGTTTTAAAAACATCGGATTTTTGCTTCATCAAGAAAATCCACACTTTTCTAGAGAAATTATCAATTATAGAGAGAAAGTATCTACTCCCACCATGTGTGGGTTCACTAGAAGGACCCCACACATCGACATGTAGATACTCTAAAATACCTTTTGAAAATATTTGGTTTTCCAAGAGTTTTTGAAGAAATTGCACCTTATGGTGTTTTCCATACACACAATGATCACAAAAGGGAATAGTTGAAAGCTTTTCATTACCAAAATAATCAGATTTATGCAATATTTTTAGACCTCTATTACTAAGGTGTCCTAACCTCTTATGCCTAAGTTCAGTATTATCTATAGTCTCATTAACTATATTTTCAGATTTATTAATTGGCAAAGCCGATGTGACATAAAGGTTATTTTTCAAATTCGCTCTAAAAAGTACTAAAGCACCTTTTGTAATTTTAATGCAATTTGCTCCCCACTTCCCTTCTAACCCCATAGAAGAT